GTTATCCAGAGATGACTGATAGGCTGGCACCTTCCAACAAAATAAACTCACACTGTGATTGCTCAGTGTGACCTCCCTGCATGCTCATGTATACAGGTCTATAGCAGGCCCCCATCCAGAAAGGTGGTACTTTTCTGGCTTGGTATGTAAGCTCTGAGTGGGAATGGGATAAGCAAATGGCACCTAGAACAGGGGTTTTCAACCTTTTTTAAATGAGTATACATACCCCCAGTGGCCCCCTTTTTAGTAAGTGTACCCCGGGGGGTGTGGGGGGGTGAACGGCCGGATGCGGAGCCGGAGGTGGGGGGTGGTAAGTGCCTGGCTGTCAAGTGGGAGGGAGGAGGGGGGCCAAGCAGCCAGATGCAGAGAGGGAGTGTGGAGAGTGGCAGCAGTGCAGCATCTGTGTGGCCCTGCTCCTGTGAGGCAGTGGCATGGGGTGGTGGCGTTCCATCCCCACCTGCCCCCTTGTACCTACCTGGGACCTTTCAAAGTACCACCAGGAGTATGTGTGCCCCCCGTGGACAACCCCTGACCTAGAAGAAATATTCCTTCATTGGCTATTAACTCAGGGAAGATTTGTCTTGAACTGCTTAAGTGGGGTACAAGTCCCAAAGATATCAGCTTATAAAATCATAGAAAATTAGGGTTGAAATGGACCACAGGAGTTCATCTAGTCCAACCCTCTGCCCAAAGCAGACCATCCCCAACTAGATCATTCCAGCCAGGGCTTTGTCGAGCTGGGCCTTAAGAACCTCCAAGGATGGAGAATTCCCCCACCTCTCTAGGTAACCCATTCCAGTGCTTCACCACCCTTTGAGTGAGAAAGTTCTTTCTAATATCCAACCTAAACTTTCCTTGCTGCAACTTGAGACCATTGCTCCTTGTTTTGTCACCTGCCAGCACTGAGAACAGTCTAGCTCCATCCTCTTTGGAACCATCCTTCAAGTAGCTGAAGGCTGCTATTAAATCCCCCCTCAGTCTTCTCTTCTCTAAACCAAATAAACCCAGTTCCCCAGCCTCTCCTCATAAGTTATGTGCCCCAGCCCCCGAACCATTTTGTTGCCTTCCGCTGGACTCTCTCCAACTTGTCCGCATCCTTTCTTCTCCTACCTGCATTTCCACCCCTCATAAATACCAGCTCTTTCAAGACTAGGGCAGCTCTAGCACCCTTCAGAACCAGGCCTTGAGTCTATCCAAATTTTACAGGATTTCTCAACTGGTTGGATGCGAAGGTCCTCTAGGTGGGACTTGGGTCGCAGCGGTGAACTCTTTTGCTTTTGCACGCTTCAATTGCCGCCCCCCCCGCCGGCCCGCCATCAACTGGTGGGACCAGGATTTTTTTTACCTTATGTAGGTGGGAAAGGTTGAGAACCACTGCTCTAAATCACCTCATTATCCTACCAATATAGCAAGTCCCTCTAAACTTGGTTGATGAGTAGGAGTCCAGGCTTTGCCCATGTTACATAATCTTTAGGATAGAATGGGCTGTACCAAAATAGGCTCAGTCTCACTAATGATATGGACAGCTGTCTTTCCCTGCAGCAGGAGCAGTGATTCTATAATGTTACCTTGGGCTCAAACTGGATATACAACAGAAAACCAATTTTAATACATGGAGCCCTATTCAGAGGTTCTGGACTTAAGGATCCCAAAACTTTGGAAAATGAGCATTTGGTGTTGGGTATCCTCATAACCTTTTTCATAAGTCATGGAAGATGTGGTGTTCTTCAAAGACGTCACTGCCAGAATCAGGTTATTATCTGAGACTCTTAGCTCTCATTGACTCAGGTGAGTTTCTAGTCCTCAGGGTTACAACCCCCCCGAAAATTAGAATTTTAAATGCTTTAACCTTAGATAGTGAATACAAATTAACCCCATCATTTATTATTCTTAATAGCTGATGATTTTTTAGCCTCTGTCATTCGTTTTGAATGCTTGAAGCTGACAATACAAGGACCCAGAAATTTAATAACAGTATCACTATTGATATGGGCAGATTTTATATGGATTTGATCTGATCTGGATATGGATTTGATCTGAATGTGTTTGCTGGTAAGTGACAAGCATTCCACTGTATTCATGTATTAATGTGTAATTGATAGGCTGAGAAACCATAGCCACACAGAAGCAGTGATGCTAATGGAGACAATTACAGAGGAGAGAAATTCCAAGATGGACCTATTTTCCAGCTGGTCAGTCAGCACCCTGCGATTTTCCAATTGCTCAGTGCTTCTCTTTGCAGCCTCAGTGATACCCTTAATACAATTCTTTTTATGTACAAAGAAGTACAAATACAGAGACATTCCGGCTATGCCAGGACCCAGACTCCTCCATACTTCAGCCGTTATAAGACAACTCAACAAAAAGCCAGGGACCCTGCAGAGTTTTCTCACCCTCCTCCCAAGTTTCTTTGCATCAGGAAACTCTTCTGTACCAGACAGACGTGAAGATCTAGTCCAGAGTAACTCCCCCTACCATGGTAGAAGTGTCCCCACAGGGAGTTACTTTGGAGTGCCCAACTACAGGTTTCCGTCGCTTTATGCGAGTTCTGTATGTGCGAATTCGCTCTTATGCGATGACCCTTTTTATACCAAAAATTCATTATATGCGAGGTCAATTCACTCTTATGCAATCGGTGCGGTGGAAACCCAGAGTCAGTTGCTTTGTACAGGGCATTGTGGGAGTGACACACACCAAAATGTGGTCTCCTGTGTGGATCTGTACTCCTTGCTTGTTGTCTGCGACGTGTTTTTGTAGTTGCTGTCCCCATTATGATAGTGCCCGGTGCTTGCGTGTACTGTCTGCTGTTGGTGAGTACCAAAATCGTCTTGTAAAGTTGGTGGAAATGGGGTCTGGGGTCAGTCCAGTCGAGGTCTTGGAACGTATCCCTATTGGTTACGTTGTAAAGTGGATTCCCTTTATACGAATGTGAGTTACGCGGCCTTTTCCAGGAAGGTATGTACAGCATAAAGTGAGGGAAACCTGTAATCTGTAAGGTGTAAATCTATCCTGCCTGCTGCCTGGACCATGTGCTGGTCCATTTCCCTGAGTAGACAAAGTGGGGGGCAGGTTTTATAAGGTAGTTAGGCACTGAACTGCCACTGAAATCAAGGGGATGGAAGTTTCCTGCATTCCCCTAAGCCATTGATTCTCAAGCAGGGTGACATAGCACCCTGGAGTACCTTGAGATCGATCTACACGTGCACTTAACTGTGCAGCAGACTAATTTGCTGTGGTGTAAAGCATCACAGTCTACATGTGTGATGCTATTAGACTGCAGCAAATTATTTTTTGCCATCCTAAGATAGTATTGTCCAGGATGTGTGTAAACCCTGACTTGGACATAAATCGTGCCCAGTAAGCCCAGGTAGCAGGGGCCAGACCGCCTGCTGCCTAGCCATGCAGCTCTGCCCTTTGGGCACTCTTGTGCCCCAGCCAGCCCCTCGGCCACCTGACGCCGTGACCTGGAACCTGGGGTCAGAGGCGATGTGTAGGGGGGGAACAGGGGGACACGTGACCCGCCCCCCCCCCGAGGTTGGTTGCCACCAAAGCCGCCACCAGCTTCTGCAGGTAGTCACTGCCTCGCTGTTGACACGGTTGCCGGCAGCAGCAGGCAGTCCCTGCTTGTGTCTGCCGACAGCGCAGATGGTGGCTACTGGCGGTCCCTGCTCACCGCCCTCCCCTGCGTCACCACCAAAACTGCTGTGGCCACCTGCAGGTGGTCCCTGCTTGGCGTGCCCTTGCTGCCGCCATCACCACGGCCACCTGTAGGTGGTCCCCGCCTGCTGCCACCACATCCTCACCCCCACCGCCTGCGGGTGGTCACCGTGCCCCCTCAGCCTCATGCCCGGGGTTGACCCCCGAGCCTGCTGCCAGCCCAGGGCCAAGCACCCTGGCACAGCCAAACTGCTGCAGCCCTAGGCGCACGTGTAGATGCTGTACCACGCAGCCGTTAACTCCGGAGCAAACTGCACCAGAGGTTAAGGCACCACATGAATTGCGGTTAGTTAGCACTGATGTTAGGTAAGGTGTGCAAACAGGAGTCATAAGATAAAGCCGGAGATACAGCACAGGAATCTGCCGTGGTGGCGCTTCTTGGATCCTCGCAAGAGGCAAACTGGCGTTTCCCGGGGGTGTGCTTCAGCCTGCCCAGGCCAGCCTCGCGTCCGAAAGAGCAGAAACCCGCCGCCGCACTCCGCGCTGGACCCGG